TTCATTTTTCTCTAAGACTAAAAAAGACTAAAAGTCTGCTAGTATCGATAACTCTATAAATATTATTAATACATATATTTATATTTATATACACATCCAGATATTCCCATGGTCACGTTAAGTATTTTGATTGAATAGATGAAATATTAAAATACTTTGCCAGAAAACAAGCATTATAGCTTGTTCTGTTCTGCATTATACTATAGTGAATTACTCTTTTCCCTACTTTGTAATATAACCGGCCTGCTGACTGTCCTTATCCTTGCTATAATTTTAGGTATACTATTTTCCAAAGGACCATGAACTATCCAGTCCTGTTCCTCATCAGTTTGCTAAAGAGATTGCTGTTGCCTGCAGTACTGCTCTTTGTGCACACCTTAAAACCTTGAAAAATAATGGGATGAATAAGATAGGCCTAAGAGTTTCTATTGACTCAGACATGGTAATCTTTCAACTTTTATTGCAGATGCTTTTTCTGAATGTTTCTAGTTTTTTGCCCCACCCCAGATCCAGAGTGAGGATGAAATTTCATGAAGAAGCTGTCTTAATGACTAGTTTTTTCTTGAAAGGAATAGTCCTGTTTCCTTATTGTGCCCAAATTCCCTAATAGCTCCTTGCAGTAAGCTATCAGTCCTTCCCTAGTTCTAACTCTCTCTAGCAATCATTTGCCTCCAAGGTGAGTCAATTTAGAGAATTCTAGAGTTAATTTTCTGATGCTTTTCTCAAATTATGTAGTTTTCTGCTGGTTTTGCTCCCTAATGTAGTTCAGTAAGGGATATTTGCACCAAAATCTGTACAGCAGAAAAGGACAGGTCTGCCCAGCTGAGGCTGGAAGAGCGCATGTCATGCCCTTCAAAAGGTTACAAGACGGTAAAACAGTTCAGTTCCTTGCCTCTGAAGGCGCTCTGTGTTACACACCCCTATCTTTTTTGAGAGGAGTTGGAAATACAGTCTGGAAAATTTAGTTTTCAGTAGTATATTTTGACATTAATCTAATAGTAACTATGATACTAGGATATAGTCAGATCACTCTTGGACATCAGACTGAAGCAGTCTGGGATGCAGGGGATGTGTGGCCCTGTACACTCAGGGGAATGTTGCATGCTTCTCAAAGGCAAGCCTAATTGTTCATGATTGACCTCAAAACCCATCCCATTGCCAGTGTTTGTTATTTTGTCACTTTGTGCTAGCTGAAATATTCTTTTACCAAGATACTACACTTCTGCGTTGTCTTGTTAACACAAAAAGTGTTAATATGAACATTAATGTGTTTTCCTTCTAGGTTGAGTACTTGGCCGGATCTGGAGGTCACCTTCTTCCACAGAACTATCTGAAGGAATTGGATAGTGCTCTGATTCCTGTGATTCATGGTGGGATGTCAGATCCTACAAGTCTACCACTGAAAATGGAATTAATATTTTTCATTATAGAACATCTGTTTTGATGAGGCTGATTACAGGCAATATACTGATTTGCTAGATCTGAAGACCAAAGTTATAATACTACAGACACTAAAAATGTTTCTAAACCTGTTATGTTTTAATAGGTTTTTTTTCAGACTGTTTTTTAAAACCCTCAAATCCTCTCTGGTTACTTTACCACAGAAGAATTGTAGTTTGTAATGTTTCCTAAAGTTCTGAAAGTTTACACTTAATACAGGTGCAGAAGAGGGCAGGTTTTGTTACCTCTTCACACAGTTGTAGCATTTACTATATGTAGTGTAACTTTAAGCCATACTATCTTGTCTCTTAACCTCAGATAAATGTGTTACTAAAAATTGCTATGGTTAGACCTAATCTCTATCTGAAGCATGTGCTTTCCATGTGCAAATGAGCTAGTGCTGAAGTAGAAGCTGGCACTTGTATTCTTGCCATTTGAGATTCAAATATGAGATCTGTGGTTGACAGCAAACTTCCTACGTCAGTGTGAAATACAAGTGCGTACCTTCTGGCACTTGTTTATGGTCAGCATGAGGAAGGGTCTTGCAGTTATGTTTATGAAGACTTTGTAGTTTAAGTCCTTAACATCAGGATATTATGCTGGTGCTTCAGGAACATGTGCTCTGCATTAATTTTTTTACAGAATGACTAATTTCTTTCTTGTTGTATTTATAAGGATTTCTCTAACTTAAATGGATGCTATTTTTATAAATACTGCTATTCTTTTCTTTACTCTGTGTTTGAAAGTCCTGATACAATTTGACCTTTCAAGGATTAATAAAAAAAAGATTACCCTTGACGTAATGTACATGTAGCAATAAGTCAGACAAGAATTCTGCAATATATTTTCTGCTCCTGTCTATAGCTTTTGCCACCTCTTAGTAGCCAACTTTACTTTCAGGGAGAACAGATGTATTAAGTGTGAATTTTCATGAACAGATTCATTTTTTTAGTATACCCGAGGTTCTTGTATAGTACGTATTTTTGATATTGGGTCACTAAGATCTATTTATGTATTTGTGATGCATGATTTGTACTGAGGTTCAGAGAACCATAATTGGGGTTTGGTAGCTGTCACACAACTGTTTTATCAAGAACAGAACCAAAACTAAATATATACAAGATCTATATTGTTTTCAGTAAAAATGCTGGTACAATTTTATAATGATACTATTAAAACTTTGATGCCTTCTTGATGGTAATAGGGGATATTTTATGTTTTTGTATCAAAAACAATTTGTAACTTAACCTAATCTGCTCTGCTGTTACCTATGCTTCAAAATACCGGTTCTAGAAGGGTTCAGGCTTCAAGATCTTGCTCTGGAGGAAACTGAGGCAGTGTTTAAGCTAATTAACCTAACTTCTTCAGAGAAACGGCAGGTCTGGAGAGGAGCTGAAGACCGCACCACGCACAGAGTGAACAAAACACATCCTTGCTGGAAGACAGGCTGCAACCGGACCGTCGAGGAAACAATGGCGCAAGGGTGAACAGTCATGAAGGACTGTGATGGGCTCGGAGGTGGCTGTTGCCCCTGGTACCCCGTACTGCAGGGGTACACGAGCGTTGCCCGTGTCTGTCTGTCGGGGTGACTGAAGGAACAGCTGGCTCTTGCCACCCGCACTAACTGATGTTAAGTAATGATCAATAAAGTTAACTAAAATTCTTGCTATCTGTGGTGTTTGGGGGGAGAGGGAGGGGTTGTTGTGTCCCGTCTTTGAAGCTTTTTGGGGGTGCTCCTCGCAGCCGCCTTCCCCCCGCCACCCGGGGCGGGGGTGGAGGCAGCCCTGGCCCTGCTCCGGCCCTGGCCCTGCTCC